AATTTAATTTGACCAGATAGGAAGGAAGAAGAGAGAAAAAGTGAGAAAGCAAGCCAGAACTTAACCGTGATTGGTCCAGCGCCCTTAATCACTACGCCACCTGCTGGCCCCTTTAAGTCATTTTAAATTAGCCTTTCACAAAATTTCATTTACATACTAAGTCATCTTCAAGCACTTTAAATTGCATTTGTGGATTTAATATTTTAACTTGTCCATAAGTACTTCAAATGTTGAATTTAATTCCTTCTTGTATTTTTAAATAATTTTAAAATTAGTACAACTTAATATAAGCTTAAATTTCTCAGCTGTTGTAATGTCAGCCATAAACTTAATAATATTTCAACTTAAACTTATAAGTCTAAATCAAATAATTCTGTATTTTAAATTTTAACAAAAGTTGTCACTTTATTAAGCCAAATCTCTTAAATATAACAAGTATATAATGCCAAATATAGAAATTCCCCCCTCCAATTACCTGTGCTCACTAGACAAACAAGGAGATGGAGAAAACATTCCACAGTGGGGAATGGTGATGTTGTAATCCCTTCTCCTCCATTTCTCCATCCTAGTGGGATTTGGGGCACACATACCTGGTGTATTTTTCAAGGTGCTGGGCTAGGATTTTAATCTTGATTAACCATGGCATCTGTCTCCTTCAACCTTTAGGCTATGGGTTGGGCCTAAAGCGATCCTTTTAATGTTGTGTTTTAATTATTTTATATTTTTTATTCTTAATTTTAAAAGTCCTGAAGTTAAAAAGATGCACACATGTGAAAAAGTCCAGGTACTAATCAGTTAACTGAGATTAATTAGACCATAGATTTTAGCTCATTATGAGACCTGAAAATAGATATCTAGAATGATTTATTGCTCTATTTCCAACTATCCCAGTGGTCCCCAATCTTTTTGGCACCAGGGACCAAGTTTGCAGAAGACAGTTTTTCTTGGATGGTTTTGGGATGATTCAAGAGCATTACATTCATTATGCATTTTATTCCTGATATTACTACATTGCAATATATAAGGAAATTATTACACAACTCACATAATGCAGTATTTGCAGTTGTCCCACCCCAGGTTGTATTATAGCCATAGCTCGACTTCCATTAGGCAATTAGATTCTTTTTTTTTTTTTTTTGGAGAGATTTTCACTGTAGGGCGCGTGCGCTCGCCAGACAGACAGAGAGAGAGACATAGAGACAGAAAGCGAGAAATCACCCCCCAGGGGGGATGGTCACGCCGCAATCCCTTCTCCTCCATTCTCCTCTCGGGATCTTGGGCACGCACGCACACGCGCCCGGCGTGAGTTTTAAGCCACCGGGTCCAGGACACGAACCGCGGTCAACTACGTGGGAGTCCAGTGACATAGCCATTACGCTAACTGCTGGTTCCCGGCAATTAGATTCTTGTAAGGAGTACACAACCTTTTTTTTCTTTTTTTTTTTTTTTTTTAAATTTAAAGAAAAAGTTTATTGAAGATTTGAAAAACAACTCCTAAAAGATAGACTTCAGAAAACTGTAGCTACACAATACATTGAATCTATCATGTTAAAACGTGCATTAGACACAAATACAAAACCATGAAACAAGCCACCATTCTTCAACAATTTGAGTGAAGATAATGCCTAAGGAACAACATGAATGACTTGCAAAGGATGGGCTCATTATTTTAAACTCTATTTTAAAAAAAAGAGAGAGAGCACAAATGGATAAGCGTGTTTAGTTATATACACTGAACAGAACTTTTGGCTCTAGGAATCAGAGCATTTTGTCATATAGCACTAACACATATTATAAAAGTGTATAGTGGGACCAGCAGTTGGTGTAATGGCTATGTCACTGGATTCCCATGTAGTTGACCGCGGTTCGAGTCCCGGACCCGGTGGCTTAAACTCACACCGGGCGTGTGTGTGTGCGTGCCCAAGATCTCGAGAGGAGAATGGAGAAGGGATTGCGGCGTGAACATCCCCCCTGGAAGGTGATTTCTCACTTTCTGTCTCTCTCTATCTTTCTGGTGAGTGCACGCACCCTATAGCAAAAGCCTCTCCAAAGAAAAAGAAAAAAAAAGTGCATAGTGTCAAAGGAATAGAAACACTAGCATTCAAAGCAGCTTTGTCAACTAGGCAATTGAACACTCTATAGTATGTCTCTGTTGTCCATCACTGAATATACTGGTAGCAACTTCGAAATGAAAGAAAAAAGGAGCCAAACTCCTTTTATTTTCTCTGTTTAAAATCAAACAGAAACAAACATTAATTCTGTTGTACACTAACATCTTCAAAGTACATCATTTGTACAAGAGAAGGACTAAGAACAAAAAATGTGTTTACAGAGATCCAAACATAGGTGAGTGACTGAGCCTCTCACACAGCTTTCCAATGGTACTTGGGGGAGGGGGGGAGCCACTTCATAATCGCTGGCACTAAACAAAGTTGCAGAATTCTTGGGACCAGCAGTTAGCATAATGGCTATGTCGCTGAACTCCCACGTGGTCGACTATGGTTCGAATCCTGGACCTGGTGGCTTAAATTCACGCCGGGCACGTGTGCGTGCGTACCCAGGATCCCAAGAGGAGAATGGAGGAGAAGGGACTGCGGCATGGCCATCCCCCCTGGGGGGTGATTTCTCACTTTCTGTCCCTCTGTCTCTCTCTCTCTCTCTGGCAAGCGCAAGCGCCCTATAGCAAAAACCTCTCCAAAAAAAAAAAAAAAAAGAATTCTTTGCTAGGTACTTTAGGAAATCATGAAGAAGGATTCAGTAATAAAGCAAGGCTCTTCTCATCAAGAGGTGTATAGGCCAACATCGCACCAATCTGTACAAATAATCTCAGTAGATGAGGTGCTCCATACACCTGGAACATAGGTGCATCAGGGTGATCTGCAAAGATCTCGGCATACTGTGGTCTCTCAAACTTGTAGAGTAGCTGAGTGCCCAACATGATGAAGTATCGTTTTATACCTGCCACAACTTCACTAACAGCATACTCCTTATTATAGGTATTTCCTTGAGATTTCTTATAATTTGCATAATCCTCCAGAATGGAATCCACATTCTTTTTAGCAGGAAGATAAAAGAGCTACTTTTGCCTGGTAATTAAGTCCCAGTCATCAACAAGCCATGGTTTTAGCTCTTCAGGAATCTTTAACTTCAATTCTGTTCATGAATGTTTCCTCATTTTCAACAGTAAGATCTAAGCAGGTCCTTTTCTTCCAAGAAGGCTGAGGTGTCTCACTGGTACTGCCACCATCTCCATTCCCAGGTGTTTTCTGTTTGTTCTTTTTTGTTTTCACTTCAACATTTTTCTGTTGCAGACCAGATGTCTTCTTTCCTGGTGCAGCCCCTCTCATCTTGCCCTCTGTATACTGCTCCTGATTGGCTTTTTGAAGTTCTCGCCGTTTGTGCAGATTGTTGTCCATGTATTTGAGTACTCTGCTCTCTGGAACCCATTCATCCCAATTTTTATTCCAACCACTGTAATGCATAAAATATTTCACTTGCTTATCCTTTATGGTAACTTTCACACATTTTGCTTCATAAAGAGGTCCATGAAAGCAGAGCACTCTCTCACCCTCCTGAAATTTAGGCTTTAGATCCTGCTTCGGTGCCACCTATAAGTGATTCGCAGCCTCCTCCTTCTCCCTCTACCCCCAACTACCACCCCCTACTCTCTACTCCACCCAACTCCACATCAGATCAGGAGCATGCAACCTTGATCCCTGGCATGCACAGTTCACAATAGGGCTGACACTCCTAATATTCATGTCTTTCCACTAAACATTTTAAAAATAACTACACTTGATAGACTATTGCACTAAGACTCATATAAATACTTAAAATAATTCTGTTTGCATTTTTGGATATGTCATGTGATTTTTCTCGGATCTGTTCCAACAGTATCTGGCCATTACATTAACATGTATTAAGATCGCCATGTCTCTGCTTATCCATGCGGTAGGCTAAGGAGAATATTCTGCCAAGTGTTGTGCTAAGTTCTGGAACTATAAAAATGGACAAAGCTATTTGTTCACACAGAGTTCAGACGCTGTGAGGAAGACCTATAAATTAAAAGAAAAATCTTAAGTACTTCCTTAATAGTTATCTTTTTCTACTGAAAAAAAGGGCAAAGACCTTGTTCCATGAGGGTCTTACCTTTTGTCTGATTCACGGCTGGTATCGTTAGCACCTAATACATAGTCATACTCAGTGTTTGTGAAATACATGAACATGTGCTAAAAGAGTTATTTAGAGAAGGAGCTATAAGAGTCCCTGCAAGGGATAGGTGGCTCTTTTTTATGTGTAGAGATTGGGCTGGAGTGACATTGCACTCCATAGTATCAACAATGTTCTTTAAAGATGACATCTGTGCGGAGTCCTGAGAAACAAAGGAAATTACCAAGTAAGAAACTTCAAGTGGTTCGGGAATGCCAAAAGATCAGTCTATACAGGTATTCAGCAAGGCAATCTTGAAGGCCTTGTAGGTTGCATTATTTTTGTATCTCCATTTTAGTATCTGTACCAATATGCTGATTTACCAAAAAAAAAAATGTCCACATATCCCTACTACTCTGGTAGGTCACTGATGCAACATAATAATGGGGTATGGGAAGTCCTAAAAAGTTAATCGCAGGAATGAATGAAAGAACGAAGAATGACGAATAACAGCAGTGTGGGCACTGTTCGGTGATTAAGTCATCTGGATGGTGGGGATGTCATCAAAGGACCTACATCGGCCTGGGCAGAGATCTGGTCAGGATTTTGACCAATGCTGAATTCAGTCAGCCTAACCATCTAAAAACATCTTGGGAGTTTCAAACTGATTTCCTAGCAGGAAAGTGAAACCTAAGCCAACAGCAAAACAAAAACAAATGCAGACACTTCAAAATTTATTAGGGTTCTTAACTTCAAGGTCCCAGTGAGCAATAAAGGAAAATGCCTGGCTCGTTCATCCATTACACCCGGACAGTAAAAAGAGATGAACAGACTCTAAGAAAACAAATGTAAGCACTTCAAAATTTATTAGAGTTCGCCAACTTCCAGGTCCCAACCAGCAACATGGTAAAGGGCCTGGCTCGTTAGTCCATTACACCCGGACAGTAAAAAGAGGTAACAGACTATTAAGATGTACTGTGTAGCACGGCGCGGCAAAGGAGAAACAGCTAAGCGCGAAGTAGGTACCAGTATTCCCAAGCGTGGAAAGCAGGTTGTGGCTCCCCGACTACGCAGCTGCCACCCGCGCCGTTAATTCGATTCGCCGAGGAGACCCGGTGACGCGAATGAGGAACGCGGCAAGCAAGCCCGGGCTCCCGCCGGACGTAGTTTCCAGTCGTACCTGCGAGCTCCCGACCTGCAGCAGAGCGTCTCCCCTCCGCTGAGGGAACGGCCTAACTCTGGGAGTTTGAACTGGCCGTCGAACAAAAGAGCCGGGACCTGCTGTTCCTCTCCCACAGCTTCCCCTCCAGGGAGACTACCCCGAGCTACCGCAGGACCTTCCGGATTCTCTCCTCAGCCGGACGTAGTTTCCAGTCGTACCTGCGAGCTCCCGACCTGCAGCAGAGCGTCTCCCCTCCGCTGAGGGAACGGCCTAACTCTGGGAGTTTGAACTGGCCGTCGAACAAAAGAGCCGGGACCTGCTGTTCCTCTCCCACAGCTTCCCCTCCAGGGAGACTACCCCGAGCTACCGCAGGACCTTCCGGATTCTCTCCTCAGTGGACGATTAGAGGGCGCAGCGGCTTCGGGAGGCGCGGCGGCAAACCTGTCCTGCCTCCCAGCCATAGCCTCTGGCACCGGAGAGCACAGGAGCCCGCGGCAGCTTAGCCCGCGGCAGCTTTTCCAGGCTGGAGGCGGAATGCCCAGCCCTGGCAAGGTGGGCTCGGGGAAAACTGGGTTCCCCCTCTACTTCCGGGAGACGCGGGGTAAAGCAGGCCATTCTTGGAACCACCCACCTCTTCTCTGATTGGTCAGCTGCTCTCTTAATGTGCTCCCCAGCTGTTGATTGGTTCGCGCGCACCGTCTGTCACTTGCTTGCTTCCCTGTGGGAATCTAGGTCGCTAAGGGAAGCGTTACTTGGGGCTCGGTTGGGGAGAGGTTGGTTGGACTCTTGAGTCTAGTTTGTTTGTTATAATAGGGACCGTCCCCAGGCGCGAGCTTCCGTTGCAACGGCCGGGAAAGGAACAGTAGAAGGACTGAGGACGGGTGGTGGCAAGAAAGTAAAGGTTTAGGAGTAAACTAGACACACCTAAGCCAGGCAGCATCCGAATGGGAACGGGATAGGAAGGCCTGCGAGAGAGGAGGCGTAATCCCAGCGGCCGTGACAGTATAGAGAGAAAGTATACGTTTGATGTGGGAGAAAAGGGCCTGCGGGTGATTTTCATGAGTTAATTGTATGGGGATCTAGTTTTCTACGTGAATGTCTAACAAAATACTCTGGAGAATTTCCTTTGGGTGTGTAACGGAGTTGCGATTCCTAGTCTTAAAGTGACTGAATAATTTAATTCTCTTTTATTGCTTCAGATGGGCAACTCTCAAAAAAGGAGTAGACAATTGAAGGATGGATACCATTGCCTATATTAAAAGCATGATGAAAGGAAAATAAGGTATTCACTTTTATGTAATTGTGGTTAATTGTACAAGAAAACTTTTCAGGAGAAACTGCTCTTTTGAATATTAGAGTAGCTTGATTTTTAAAAAACAGGTTTCAGCTTTTTAAATCGTTTATTACAAAAATCATATTAATGTGGGAACCAGCAGTTAGCGTAATGGCTATGTCGCTGGACTCCCACATAGTCGACGACCACGGGTCGCGTCTGGGACCTGGTGGCTTAAAAAACTCACGCCGGGCGCGTGTGCGTGCGTGCCCAAGATGCGGAGAGGAGAATGGAGGAGAAGGGATTGCGGCGTGACCATCCCCCCTGGGGGGTGATTTCTCGCTTTCTGTCTCTATGTCTCAGTCTGTCTGGCGAGCACACGCGCCCTATAGCGAAAACCTCTCCAAAAAAGAAAAAAAAAAAGAAAAATCATATTAATGTGATATCTACTAAATATACTCTTTGCTCATTGTCCTAATTATTCCCAAAATTGAAAGAAATCTTGAGCTTTTTGTAGTTAATTGAGTATATGGTGCTAGTAGATCTTCTATTAAAAAGTGATAGTAACCACTGTAAAATTGTTTAATTTGTCATTTAATGCGAGAGTATGCATGAAATTTGATAGGTGCATACTCCTAGTTTGGACTTGTAATTTTACTTTATATTTAATGCAGCTTGCTTACTAAACACCTGGTGTATTTGGAGAGACAAGTTCCAACAGTTGCTTTACTGACAGCCTAGACATTTGAGCGTCTAGCTTCTGAGTCAGGTGCTGTTATACATACCCCTTAGGGACATACCAGAAATTGTCAAGAAAGTTAATTTCACCCACAGAACTTCTAAATTAGCCCTTAACAATAGACCTGAGTCCTACCCTGGAAAATTCTAACAAAGACTGAGAATAAAATCTGGGCATCTGGATTTTTAAAAACTTCCTTAAGTGAGCTTGAAAACATTGCCCTAGTGACTTAACAAGTAGATGTATTTAAGAAATTCTGTAATGTTTATGATGTAGTTTTCTCTCTTGATTTCCTTATAGTTTTAAAGTAAGCTTTTTAGAAATGACATTTAAATATAATCCTAAAATAGTATTTTCTTAGGCAAGGTCAGAAAGTTTCACTGGCACTCAGAAACACCTGGAGCTAACCATTCCAGGCTTAGGGGTGAGCCTTGAGGAGTCTGGATGTGGAGAGACTGGAAGTGCTCTGATACGCTTTCACAGTTCCCAGAGTCGTGTACAATGTATTGTTTCCTGTTGAGTTTCAAAGTCTTCCTGTTAGGCTTTAAGGAGAGATCAACTCCTTAAAGTTCAGTGGATACAGCAAGCTAAATAATTTTCACAACAGGCTAAATAATTTTCACTTCAACAGAGTGCAGTAAAGAACAATGGGGGTTGGTACAGTTATGAGTCTTTGGAAAGAATACCTTGCTGGAAATAAATGTAAATTATACCTTTCTAATAACCTTTGCTTAGTAAGTAAAGAACATGTATGATTCAGACTTAAAATTTGTACATTGATGTGAAGTACCCAGATATTTGAAACATAAATGGTGACTTTTAGGCCACCCTTACCAAAGTCAAGAGAGGTAAAAAATGAGAAAATCACTTTGATTTGCAGACATGAGAAATGTGTGGTGAACCCAGATCCAGTCTGATTTAAATGATGACTTTAGGCAAAGAAGTCAGTCCAATTACATAGTGACTCCTGGAAGTTGTTCACTTTGTAAGTAAGTTCCTCACTGCAGGATTTGGCACATAATGTATTTGAGCAGGAGACACAATTTTAAAGTAAAAATCTATAAGTTAAAAATATAAAGCCATATGTAGTCTAACTAAAACATTGAATTTTGTATATATCATTTGAACAGAAAGCCAGTAATCTCAGTATGAATCAGTCTAGATCTAGATTAGATGGTGGTGGTGAAGAATCCTCATCTCAAGACCATAATCATCGTGAAAATGAGAGAAGATGGCAGCAAGAGCGTCTCCATAGAGAAGAAGCCTATTACCAGTTTATTAATGAACTCAATGATGAAGATTACCGGCTAATGAGAGATCATAATCTTTTCGGCACCCCTGGTAAGACATGGACAAAAAAGGAGACACCCTTATTTTTTCACTAGAAGGAAGAATTTAAAACAAAAGGAGTTTTTTCCCCTTTCTCAAAAATATAGTATACTGGTTTTTGGAAGTTAAAGAACTTTTTAATATAACAAAGTATAAAATCACTGGCTGGCTTCTGTATTTTATAAGTAGGTAAGAATAGTGGACATGTATTGTAGAAATGCCAGACTAACAAACAGGTACATGATAGTATTAAATATTCACATATATGATTATATTTCTCTTAGATAATATTTATACAAATATCACTTAAAACTTACTTGTGGACCATGTGATAGCTTGGAGGTTAGGGTGTCTGGATCCCAAATGACTGACTACATGGTTTGAGTTCCAGACCTGGGGGCTTGAAAAACACACCAGGCATGTGTGCCCAAAATCCCGAGAGAAGTGGAAGAGAGGGATTGTGGCGTGGCCAGCCTCCTCGGGGTTGCTTTTTCACTTTCCCTCTCTGTCTCTCTCTGGTGAGCACATATGTCCTATAGCAAATTAAAACAAACAAACAAAAGAGTTCATTCTAACTGATTTGGGGAGTTAATTTATTCACTTGAATTAATAATCCCCCAGGTCCAATGTGCTCCATACATTTTTTACAAATTCGTTTTACAAATAAACTAAAATGTGTATGTTTATGTAATACTATATTTCTATGATTCATATAATGAAGTACTGGGATTAAATTTAAGTAAATATAGATTTGAAGTTTTTTTTCTAGGAATACTCCTTTAACTTCTTTTTAACTCTGGAAAAATCCACAGAACTTTTTTTTTTTTTTTTAATTTTTACCAGAGAGTGTGTATGCTCCCTGGAGAAAGACAGAGAAGGAAAGTGGAAAGGCAGGCCCCATAGGGAATGATCATGCCACAATCCTTTATCTTCCCCTCCTCCTTTCCTTTGGAATCTTGGGCATGAATACACACTGCCTTATGTGTTTCTCAAAGTGCCAGGTCCCAGTAACTGCATGGTTGGCCACATGGGAGCTAGTCACTCTAACCATCATGCCACAGGCCAGCTTCAGAATCATTGCATATCAACTGAGAATGCTTTACTAGTTATTCAAATTAAATTTCATTTTGATACATTTTAATAAAACATTTAATAAATGAAGCACTGCCAAATTGATGTACATTTGCATCTGTTGAACATTTTAACTGTCTCCATTTTACAGAGCACATGAAAATAATTATTAGTCTGACCATGAATATTTGTAGAACTTGGTAATGTAAACTTAAGTGAGCAATTTTTTTTTTTAGGAGAAATAACATCAGAAGAACTGCAACAGCGGTTAGATGGAGTCAAGGAACAACTAGCATCTCAGCCTGATTTGAGAAATGGGACAAGTAACAGAGGTACTTTGGACTCCTTTCCATAAGAACAAGACTTGATTGGAGCAATTGTAAAAGTGAAATTACTGGATCTTGTACACTATGTTTGTTTGTCATGTTTTCCTAGTTTAATGTGATACTCTTTGGGATACTATTTCTGCTAGTACTATACACAAGGTGCATGGTTAGGCAGGATAGGACGGGGGAGTGAATGAAAAGATGTCTCATATAGCTTACATTCAGGAAGGTTATATAAATGAGAAAATATACAATCAGGTTAATTACCAGCATAATACTTTTTTTGTTTGTTTGCGTTAACATTTATTTATCTTTTTGTTGTGATTTTTCAAACCACCGAGTTTGGGGCTTGAATGGTGGTTAGCAATGTAGGATTCCAACACCTTAACCATCACACCATCTGCTGGTCCAAGCAGCATAGCTCTTTTTGGTTTGTTTGCTTTTTTAGAGAGGTTTTCTTTTTTTAGTTAATTAATTTTTTTGGAGAGGTTTTTGCTATAGGGCATGCGCACTCGCCAGACAGAGACAGAGAGAGAGACAGAAAGCGAGAAATCACCCCCCATGGGAGATAGCCACGCTGCAATCCCTTCTCCTCCATTCTCCTCTCGGGACCTTAGGCACGCACATGCACGCACCCAGCGTGAGTTTAAGCCACTGGGTCCGGGACTCAAACCATGGTTGGCTACATTGGAGTTCAGCGACATAGCCATTACACTAACTACTGGTCCCCTTTTTTTTTTTTTTTTTTTTACTATAGGGTATGTGTGCTCACCAAAGAGACAGATAAAAAGCAAGAAATCACCCCCCAGAGGGTATGACCACGCCACAGTCCCTCCTCCTCCTTTCTTTTCTTGGGATTTTGGGAATACATGCTAGTTCACCCGTTGTGAGATTCAAGCCTCTGGGTCCAGGATTCAAACTGTGGTCAGCTATGTGGGAGTCCATTGACGTAACCATTATGCAATCTGCTGATCTCAGCATAGTTCTTTCTAATCTTAGAATGTGCACACTACTTTTTCTAAAGTGTGTAACTAAGCTTAGCTTCTAAATGTATGTGTATAAAACAATATAGAAAGGCGAAGTCAGAAAACCTGAAGTCAGAAACTTTTGTTTCTTTGTTACTATGCTTGTTTTGTCATTTTACTGAGCAAACACTAAGCCATGATACAAAAAATTCTTAAAAAAACAAAGTGTTTATTAAAATTTACAAGCTGGCATGTGGCCACCCTGTGGCATGGTGATTAAGGCACCTGGGTGCAATATGGCTGACTATGTGGTTGGAATCATGGACTTGGTGACTTGAAAAACATGCTGGGTGAATTACACTGGGCATGTAGATTGGGATTGCAGCGTGGCCATTACTCCAGGGCAGGGTGGAGGGGAGTGAATTCTCACTTTTTCTCTGTGTATCTCTGTTTGTGTCTCTCTCTCTGTCTGGCAAGCACGTGCACCCTATGACCAAAAACAAAACAAAACAAACAAAAACCCCTAAAAAATGAAAAGGAAAGCACACCAGATATGTATGCCCCCCAAATCCTGAAAGGTGGAGAATCCTCCTGGGGAAGTGCTTTCTCACTTTTCCTCTCTCTCTCTCTGGTGAGTGCATGTGCCCTATAGCACATTGGGGGAAGGGGGGAAGAAGTATGTAGAATTAAAAGTAAAGCTTTTATTCCTCTTACCAGTTCATCCCTTCCCAGAGGTATTTATTAGTAGTAGTTTCATATGTTATATCAAAATCATTGTGTTAGTTAAAGTGAAGTCTGCATGAAAATCCCAAAATGCAATGACTCAATAAAATAGAAGTTTATTTCTTTCTCATGTTAACAGTTCAGGGAACACAGATAAGCTTTACTTTACAAATCCTCCTGAAACCCACCTTCCTACCTGACTGATTCTAAAACTGTATTGCCCAGTGCAGTGGCTACTAACCACATGAACCATACATGACAATTTGCATTAACTAAAATTAAATAAAATTCAGTCCTTCATTCACACTAGCCACATTTGGGTGCTCAATGGGCATATGTGGCTAGTGGCTTCTGTATTACACAGCTCAGATACAGAATATCTCCATTATTACAGGATAATTTTGGGGACATTGCTATTCCAGGGTATCTTTTGTATGCTCGAGTTAAATTACACTGCACCTAGGTTCTATCAATAGTTGGAAGGAAGGAAGTCCAAGCGTTGGTTTGAGATGTATCATTTCTCCTCCCATACTTATGATCAGACCTTAGTCACAAGGCCACACTAGCTGCCAGACTGTCTACATGTCCACTTACAATACTTTTACAATGGAGGAAGAGTGAGAATGGATTGGAGTAGAAAATCAGCAAACTCTTTCAAACACACACCATCATCTCTACATTCTAGTTCATCTAAGAAGGAAGTAGCATATAGAATTATTAGTGTTTACATGTCTCATATTTTTTTCCCAAACTAAAATGAGTATTGAATATTAATCCATTTTTTGCATGTGTTCAGATATATATAAGTTGTGTTAGTAAAACTGGTAGTACAGGTTTTTTGAACATGTTTTAATGGAAAATGTGCTCATCAAATGTAAAATAGTTGGGAACCAGCAGTTAGCGTAATGACTATGTCGCTGGACTCCCATGTAGTCGACTGCGGTTCACATCCAGACCTGGTGGCTTAAAACTCATGCCGGGCGCGTGTGCGTGCGTGCCCAAGATCCCGAGAGGAGATGGAGGAGAAGGGATTGCGGCGTGACCATCCCTCCTGGGGTGTGATTTCTCACCTTCTGTCTCTATGTCTCTCTCTGTCTGTCTGGTGAGCGCACGCGCCCTATAGCAAAAACCTCTCCAAAAAACAAAAGAAGTAAAATAGTTCATTACCTTTATAATGTGGCTAAGGTTGCTATTTATTTTATTGAAACCAGCATCTGACTAAAAGTTTTCATTTCAACATTTAAAAAACTTGGAGCTGGACAGTGGTATAGAGGCAAAATGTGAGTTTTTGTGCACTCACCTGGAGACCTTTCTGAGTGTACTGGGCATGCTGGCAGAGGTCTGGGTGGATCATAGCATTAAGACTCTTCCAGGGGTGCTGACTCTCTCTAACAGCTAATATTCATTGAAAGTTTCCCATATGCCAGATATTATGCTAATTATTATGTATATATGTGTATATATACTATCTTATCCTTATGAGATTGATATTATTATTTCCAATTTACTAGCAAGGATATGGCCTTAGAAGCTTAAGTAGCTTGCTTATGTTACCCCAGCTTCACTGAAAGACAAAGAACATGGTTCTATATTATACTTGGAAAGCCATATTTTTGGAGATGTACGTTTACATTTTTGGCAGTTTTTGAGAAATAGGATAACATTCCTAACATTACAGAAAAACCTAGTTACAAAAATATTGATCGAGTTGGCTTTGCCAGAATTATTTCATAGATACTAAGTTAATTTCACATAGAATTTTCCATTGTATTTTATTAATATTATTATATGAATAAAGCATTTGAAATGTGTAATTTTGGTATCGACTATATTTCTCATGTGCCTTAACATTTTGCCAGTAAGGATAGACGTGGGAATTTACAGATAGAAAGCAGGAATAAGAATTAGAAAGTTCAGCCTTCTTGCCATTTTTTCATTTATTAAAATGCACAGATGTTTTTAGTACATGCTGTTTTTCTTATTTATTTTCAATAAAGATCTGAGGATAGATTTTAGGTATTGATCTTAATTAAGCTGATTTTCTTTGTAGATTCAGAAGTCCCTAGACAAAGTTCAGATGAAGACTCTCTGCTAGAATGGTTGAACACCTTTCGTCGTACAGGAAATGCAACTCGAAGTGGACAGAATGGGAACCAAACTTGGAGAGCTGTGAGTCGAACAAATCCAAACAGTGGAGAGTTTCGGTTTAGTCTGGAAATCCACATAAATCATGAAAATAGAGGATTTGAAATTCAAGGAGAAGATTATACAGGCGTTCCAGTTTCAGATGTTAGCAGAGATCATACCAGAAATGAGCAACAAAGATCAACCAGTCCTGTGGCTAGTCGAACAAGAAGCCAAACCTCTATGAATTTCAGTGGTAGTAATTCTAACATTCCAAGGACTAGGCTTGGTGTAGGGGGGCACAATTCAGTTGAAGAGTCTTTCTCAACATTGAGAAGGTTAAGAAATGGAATTGGGGATTAATGCTTCACGCACTAATTTCAGTAGTCACACAAACCAATTAGGTGGTAGAGAACTCAGGCAAAGGCAGGGGCAGAGATTTGGAGCAGCACATGTTTGGGAAAATGGGGCTAGAACTAATGTTACAGTGAGGAATACAAACCAAAGATTAGAGCCAATAAGATTAAGGTCTACTTTCAGTAGTCGAAGCCGTTCTCCAATTCAGCGACAGAGTGGCACTGTTTATCATAATTCCCAAAGGGGAAATAGGTCTTTACGGCAAACCATTAGAAGGTCTGTTAGGAGGAGAGGTATAACTGAGGTCCTTTTAGAGCAAGATAGAGAACGCAGAGGTACTACATATACCCCATTCTCTAATTCAAGACTTGTTTCAAGAATAACAGTAGAAGAAGGAGAAGAGTCTAGCAGATCTTCAACTGCTGTTCGACGACATCCAACAATCACGCTGGACCTTCAAGTGAGAAGGATTCGTCCTGGAGAAAATAGAGATCAGGATAGTATCGCAAACAGAACTCGATCCAGAGTAGGGCTGGCAGAAAATACAGTTACTATTGAAAACAATAGTGGGGGCTTTTGCCGAACTATTTCTCGTTTAGAGCGGTCAGGTATTCGAACCTATGTTAGTACCATAACAGTTCCTCTTCGTAGGGTTTCTGAGAATGAGCTCGTTGAGCCATCATCAGTGGCACTTCAGTCAATTTTCAGGCAGATCATGACTGGGTTTGGAGAATTAAATTCTCTTATGGAGGCTGAATCTGAGTCAGAGACACAGAGAAATGATCAGCATTTACCAGAGATGCACTCAGAACTAAGTAACCTAGGTACTGTTCATGACAATGAAGGTTTCTCTCAAGACAGGCAAGCTCAAGAAGACAGCACTGAAATGAATAGTGAAAATGAGACCAGCCAGCCTCATTTCCAAAATAGTGATAGTAGAGGAGGCAGGCAGTTGCAAAATTCGAACAATTTAGTTGAAACTGGAACACTACCTATTCTTCGCCTTGCTCATTTCTTTTTACTCAATGAAGGTGATGACGATGATCAAATACATGGTTTAACCAAAGAGCAGATTGACAATCTTTCTACCCGTATCTATGAGCATAGCAGTATCGATAGCGAACTAGGTAAAATTTGTAGTGTTTGTATCAGTGACTATGTAACTGGAAACAAACTCAGGCAATTACCTTGCATGCATGAATTCCATATTCATTGTATTGACCGCTGGCTCTCAGAAAATTGCACTTGTCCGATCTGTCGGCAGCCTGTTTTAGGGTCCAGTATACCAAACAATGGGTAAAGGGATGGGATCTACTCAAATACTGTATTTTAGTAGAACCGAATATTTAAGCATTCATTTCTTGAGTTATATGTGATGAACTAACCAGGTTGGAAGATAACAGATTTATAGTTTGAACTATTTTTTGTGTGCTTTTTTAACTTGTTAAAAGGAATGAATTTATATAAAATTTTAAATGCAAATGTTCAAATCCAAAAGTACAGAATAGTTAATACTGCTAGAACCAAATAACCTTTAAAATGTTTTTATTTTGGTAATTTTGTCATGCTGAGCACTTTTGTATTTGTACAATTCAGTAGATTAAAAAGAGTGTTTTGCTGAATGTCTGCTAAATTTATTGAAGTCACTTGAAATGTTTAATATTCAGCATACCATGTGTGTATATGTAGATATATATAATTTTAAGGTTAAGTTGTTCAGTCTACAAACTACATGTTTGGTTCTTTTTTAAGCTTTTGGGCTAATTCTGTATATGGCACAGTGTTTAATCATCTCTGAAAGAAAGTGGATAAAGATATAATTTAAAAATAGAGATTATGTACTAAAGCGTCTCTGACAATCTGACTTATTAGACAGCAAGCAATATATAATACTGAACAAGTAGTTCTTTATATTAAGAAATGGAACTTGGAAAATTTAGAACATGTAGGTTATTTAACTTGAGTTCAGTTTTTATGTGACTTTTTTGAAAATGCAAACAATTCTTTGTATTATTAAGTAAGTTATACAATATGCATGGTTCCTCAAATTTAGTTTTAAAATCTAAAAATGTCTGTAAAAAAGCAAATGCATAGATAATATATTCAGTTCACTTTGATGCCCAAAAATACCTCCAAGTAAAATGAAAAAAAAAAAACCCTTAAGAGAATGTAGAATTTCTATAAACACAAAATATGTGAAGATCTATTTCTACTAATAAATACTGAAACAAAGATTGTATGTGAACTATTTTTTATTCTTGCTCCACTGTGATTTGTTCACTCCCTAAATATTTTATTTTCTACCATGTGCCAGGCAGTGTTATAGGTGTTAAGGATTCCCCAGACAATAAACAGACAGAAGTCCCACGTATTTGCTCTTTGGCATTGAAAAATCAAGGGGCCAACAGGTGGCATGGTGGTTAAGGAAGCAGGACTCCCAGACCTGGCTTTCTCATTTTCCTTCTCTGTCTCTTGCTTTGTCCTTCTGTGGTCAAATTAAAAGAGAGATAATTCAATAAAGTTAAATAATACTTTTTTAAAAAAGAAATTGAAAATCAATTGATAAAATGAATTATTGTCCTACTTTCAGGTTTGCTTAGGAATGTATGACATCATTTTCTTGTGTTGATACGGCTTGGGCAAAATCACTAGAATAGTACATCAAAGCAGATTCTGTGACATTTGGGAATAGTTCCACATTTAATTTTTTTCTTTTGGAACAGTGAATTCAATTTATTAAGTTAGATGCATGCCTAGGAATGTTAGTACATTTAACAGCTGGAGTGAGGGATTTTTTCATAACAGCTGTGACTTTGAATCAATGATTTATATCAGTCAGTTGTGGAACATAAAACTAGGAAGGGTGATTTGGGCCTGATTTGAAGGGTTTATATACTAGACCATGAAATTTCTATTTTACTGTACAGAGGTCAGGTGTCCCTTGATCTTTTTTCAGTTTCAGGAAGTTTGGACAAGTATAGTATACAGAACACAGTGGAATGGACAGAGTTGGGAAACAAACCAGTAAAGGAACTATTGTAATAAAGCAGACATCATTTTCATTATGGTTATCATCATCTCCATCAGTTAATATCTAATGGCAATGAGAAAAAGAAGGGTGTAAATATGCTTAAAAAAAAAAAAGGACATTTGGTTTAGTTCAGTGTGAAGAGGTAGGAGAGAATCATATTCACAGATAAAGTAAAAAATCACCTGAATGGAGGAAGGAGTGCTGAGACATATTAGTTACAAGGTATGCCTACTTAAATGGTTTAAGCATATTTTAATTCACACACGGCATATACACAGTATATAGTGTTACCACTTATCTCCAACATGACAAGAAACTAAATCCAGTATTTCTTACTTGAAATTTTCTTCAGGAAGTTCTACCTCTTTTGATCTGATTAGTTAGGGTTAAGTGGGAGGAGAATAAGAAAGAGGGAAATGGGAAAAAATAGGGATAAGGAAAAAGCACATCAATTCTTTGTTGGACTAAGTCCTTTACAAGATACGATAGTGTTAAATCAGAATGTGAAGGGTTTCCAAAAAGGCATTTGAAACAGAACTAGGTTTTACACTATATGGAAAATTTTCTGAAAGCAACAGTATAGCTTAATGAATTTTATAAATTAGTATCCTAGTTGAGAACAAAGAAGAGTATTCTTTAATATTTTCATTCCTTTTTCCAGGCAATGAGGCTGAAGACAAATACAAGGGCTCATTAATCTATTTATAGCTTCTATTTAGCAATGATTATAACCTCTTGGTTCCAATAGAGAAAGGAACAAATAGTTTGAAATTCTCCATTTTAATTTTTTTCTTCCACATCAGGTCCATAGAGCTTGTTCCTTATGATATGGCTGTCTTACAAACTTCTATTTCTAGACTGCCAGCTTCCAGCTGTTTTTTCATGTAATTATATCCTTTTACCCTGTTTTCTTGTTTTTCAGATTTTTGTAGTTTTAGCTAACATTGTTATGACTCTTACGAGGTTATTTTCCTTTAAATATTTAATGTAAATTCATCATTTAAACCCCAAAGATCTCCTTAAAGTATCAGGTATCTTCAGAAAGTTCAAATGAAATGAATATTGTGGAAACTATGCACAAATTTTTAAAAAATGTCTTTTGCACGCAAACAAACCTACATTTTAATTCCATCTCTGAAGTCTCTTTGTATCATTGCCACTTGGCACAGTAATTGGCAGAGTTTAGAGAGTCCATCACTTCAGATGGCCATTTGTCTCCAAAGCTTGTGTTTTTTACCGCTACATGGCATTTTGGAGAACCAGAAATGCCTTGTAACATTTCATCTAATTTATTTCTTAAAGATATTTTTCTAATTTTATAACTTTGTCACAAAGATCTGAGTTTCTGTGTCAGGAGATGATTTCCCAGGAAGTCAAATCCATCTATCATAGAGAGCATCAGCCCATGTTCTGAAAGACATGATGATGGTTGTCAGCGATGATTGTTCCCCTTGGTCTCTAATGACAGATTATGAATTCCTTTCAGTGAGTATGAGTGTGATAGTGCCTGAATATGTTTTCTCTTATAATAATTGGAGATCCATAATTACTTTAAGCAGAAAAAAATTTGGTTTTGTTTTGTTTTTGAATATTAAATCTCCCAAGACTCTTGAGTTGGCCCCTCTGTTTCCATCCCTCTCTTCCTCTTTCTAGTCCTTCCTTCCACCTTTTAAAAACATCACCACATTTCTTCTGGAAAATAATAATTTTCAGATGTATTCTTCCTCTATGTACTAACACTTCATTTGCAGATAGAATAACTTCTTAGTTGCCCAGTACATATACACCATTCCTTCTTAAATACATTTAATTGTAAAAATGTTCATATGCTTTATCCAATTATCTTCTTTCTTTCTTTTAAAAATATTTATTTAATTTTATTTGTTATTATTTTTTAATTTGACCAGAGAGACAGAGAGTTAAAGGGAAAGTGAGAAAGCAAGCCACCACGTCCAGGACTTGAACCTCAGTCAGCCATGTGGGAATCCAGCACCCTTAAATGCCATACCACCTGCTGGCTCCTATCCAGTTATTTTCTGTGCAGGTCCAAACATCACATACTCCCTAATGGGAAACTTTAAAATCACATATAGCTTCTATATTCATGAAGTGACACAATTTAGCCTATACAAATTCAGTTTTGTTTTTTTTTCTGGGTGGCATCCATTCCTCCATTAGCTTACATTTGATCTGGTTTGTTAATCCTTTCCATCCTGCATACTTTGAGGACAGGTGAGAATACACTCCACAGGGCAGAGCAGACTGCTCTGTTGAAAGAGAAAGCACTGAGTACCTTTGGGGATCTCTTTATGGGAGATTTATATGCATATTCATTAAGTGGTGGGATTTTTAGGGCTTAGAGGTAGCCTTAAGCAGGGGTCTCCAACTCCCAGGCTTAGAGGTAGTCTTGAACAGAGGTTTCCAACTCCCAGGCCATGGACCAATACCAGTTCATGACCTGTTAGCACTGGGCAGCTTGAAAATCACGTGCAGCAATTGTGTGTGTGTGCCCAAAATCCCAGGAAGAGAATGGTGGAGAAGGGAGGCTAGCATAACTAGCATGGCCAACCTTCTTGGGGGGCAATTTTTCATTTCCTTCTCACTGTTTCTGTCTCTCTCTTGTGAGTGTATGTGCCCTATGGCAAAAACCTTTTAAAAAAATGAATTTTAGAGGACCAGAAAGCAAAATATTATGGTCTGAATTGTGTCTTTCCAAATGTGTTAAAATCCTAGCCCCTAATACCTCATACTGTTACTGTATTTGGTGGTAGGACCTTTAAGGAGGTGATTTAACAGCTGTTAAAGTGGACTCTAATCCAGTCTGAATGGTTTCCTTCTCAGAGAACCATCAAGGATGTATACACACAGAAGAAAAAGTATGTGAGGAAACAGTGAGTAGGTGGCCACCTAGAAACCATGGAAAGGGGCCTCCAGAACTGAGAGAAATAATTTTTTTGTTTAAACCATCTAATTTGTGGTACTTTATATGTTAGCCTTAGGAAACTAATACATATGCCCTTGACAAGACTGGTGATATTCTTTTTTTCTTCCTAGTTTGCTGAAAATTTCTATCTTGAAATGAATATTGAATCTTATGAAATTATTTTATTTTTTGCATCTATTGAGATAATCACAGGGATTTACTTCTTTATTCTGTTAATATGGTTACACATTGATCAATTTTAGAATAGTAAACCAATCTATCATTTATGGGATAAGTTCCATTGGTTATAGTTTATTATATTTTAAAATATTTTTCACTCAATTTGCTAACATTTTGCTATGGATTTTTGCTACTGTGTTTGTGAGAGATTCTGTTCTATAATTCAAAACAATAT